ATTTTGTCATGGGGATCAGCGAAGTAAATACCTGTTTCAGAAGCTCTCCATATTTTAAGAAATCATATGACATAAAGTAAATACCTCTTTCAGAAGCTCTCCATATTTTAAGAAATCATATTATATAAAGAGACTAAATTTTCGAACCCTGAGGAGTTCTCTCTCTTACTGTCACTTCATACCAAATGCTAGTCATAAATCCATCTAAAGATGGAGCTCTAGCTCTAGTTGATGTAACGATCTCAATCTTTAAGAATATTCCAGAAGATAACCTTTTGAACTTAATATCAGAATATCAACGCAGCTGGAAAATAGGTAGCATTCCTGAAATATTGACTGATGCCTTTATCAAATCCTTATTCAACTTTTGAATGCTCATTTTCGTCTTAAAGGCCATCCTATGAAGCATCAATGGCAAAATTCCAGCGAAGGCAGTAACTGGAAGACTTGTTTATTAGATTCAGCTACTGCTACCCTCATCATTAGGTTCTTATTGCAATGAAAGAGTAAATTGAATCAAACACTGCTGAATTTGCAGCTAAACATGAAAACAAATATGCTAATCAGAACACCTTTACAATATCTTCTTTAGATCTGGATAATGCCTACAATAGAGGGCAGCTGCCCATTCTTTATGACAAAATGCTCAAAATAGGTATCAGTGTAATGTGTAAAATGAGTTGTAGTTGCAATGACTACTAGAAGGTGTAACACAAAGCATGGAAGCTGGAAATAAGACTGGAGCACCATCAACACTGATCTGCTTCAAGGACTACAACTCTCACCATTACTTTTTAACATTACACCACAAATCTAGACACTCTGGAAATTCCTACCAGATGCCATTTGCTTATCTTTGCTAACAGCATTCTGATGTGCAAGAGAGGATTTAGCAAAGTTGGAATCGATAACAAAATGAACCATCTTTTATCAAGATGAACAAATTGTGCAAAAACAGGAATTGTCATCAATCCTATCAGAGCTACATGTTTTGTACATTTAACAACAGACATACTGCTGAGAACAAACCATTAACATCCTTTGTGGACAGACAAATGGACATCCTTAGCCACATTAGTTCTATGACGAACAGAACTACCAAATTCATAAGTGCACTGAAAAATGCAGCTGAAAATAAAAGATGTAGAATGTCACCTGCTTGTGCTTTACCAACCCTAACCACTCTAGACACAGAATCTACTTTGGCCTCCCACATCAAGACCCCATATCACCTCATAAGTTTCAGCAACATCACAAAGCTCCAATAGGGCTTATAAGCAAAATTATTCACTGGAGTCTTGCAGTAGGAAGAACATGAATCCAGTCATCAAGTCATTGCTTTTTTGATTGGGACATTCCAGCTCCAAAATGACCCCACAGACACCAAACAAGCAGGAGATTGTCAAAAATGGTACCTCAGAAGACAGTCATTGGTGAACAAACGATATACACCTACTATTAAATTGATTGCTTACCACCAGTTATCAGATGTATAGTAAACATTCGATACCACTGTGATCTGAGAACATTATTTTAGACAGAAAATGTAGAGAATGATAAAGGAAGTTCTATGGGTCGCTGAATAATAAACAGTGCCACTAACATAATATTTACAATCAAATCGCGAAATGTACTACATAAATTTGATAGATGACAGAAAATAAAACAACTGCATGATAAGATCATCACCTGAATGTATGTGCCACGACATGCAGGGGTAAAGTTAAAACGTTTGTAAAGGAAGCCCCTATATCTTAGCCAGCACAACTCTACTGGAAGGATATCATCCTCTCATGCTCTATTGAGGGAAAAATTATAATAATTTAATATCTTCATTAACATTCAGAGAGAATGAGACTGCTGGAAAGCAATGTACTGTGTGTAGTTGGGAAACGTAAATAATGGAAAATCAATAAGACAGTATATTTTCCAGAAAACCATTATAAAATCAGTGAATTAACTATCTTCTATCTCTTGTATGCAGACAGCTTCCACATGAGTAGTGCATACCTTTTGGTTCAACCCCTGAGGTTGTCATCTAGTGCTCAACTCAACACTTCAATAAAAAACACACACGATTTTGAAATGTTATTGGGCAACAATAATCGAAATGTTGTCAGATTTGTAACTGGCAAGGTATTTCTTTCGTCTGACACGAACCTCTAGTAGTTCTGGAAAAAAAAATATAATTCTTCTGCTAGTTCTTTACCATCTGTCATGGCACCTTCAAAACCCTTTTCTATATATTAAAAGAGAGCTTAACGTACGTTGTTGACTCAAATACTAGGTACATAAATTATCCTGGTAGAGCTCTGCGTTGTCTTGCTGGTTACATTTATTTGTACAAGCACATCATATCAAATTATTAATGAAATTATAGATGTGTATTATACTAGCTCATTTATTAATGATCCAGCTTCATATAGGCTGCAATATCCATTGTGGGTTTCTTCAGTTACATTAATTGCAGCCAATACACCTTTCATTTATTACCTTACCATTAGTGTCAGAAAGGAGCTTAAGAATGATATATATACATAGAACTTCAAGATAGCCCATCTGATAGTTTATGCAATGAAAATAGCATACATTTTTGTAAAAAGCCAAAAGGTTTTAACAGCATCAGACAATACTAAGTGTAAATGAATTAAAAGTTGTATTTCGTACTGCAGCAACCTAGATCGCACACTCTTGTGTTGGCCTCTTACAATTCATACCACTGATCTTTGCAATCTATTAATAATATTCCAAATTTAATAAGCTCTTCAAGACTGACCACTGACGGAGCAGAGGCCGTATTTCATAGGTTTAATGCTTTAGAAAAGGTGTACTAACGAATTCTTTTGAGAGCAACTGTATTTATTAATTCTGGACTCCAACGATTTAAATAATGATGATTTGCCTGGTGTTTATGAGCACAAATCTATTCATTAATTACTGATCATTTGTGAGCTATAGAGTGCTACACTTAATACAGCTCGACATGATGAAACCGGTTAAAACACTAAATGTAATCTATATTGCGCATAATACCTCGCATTCTCGAATAATGGACTTAATTAGATTTTGATCTGTGTTTTCTATAAGATCTTAACATCATACACGTTTTTTCTGTGTTCTTTTTTTTTCAGGTGGATAACGGACACCATCTAGATTTGTGAACTGGCATTACACAAGAAAGAATTGTTCTTTAAAAAATTATCTATAGAGAAGGTATTGTGTAAATCACAATGTTTTTTATTGCCATAATCGCAGCTTTTACTTGGCAAAAAATACTTTGCCAAGATGGTTTTGCAAATATGAAGGGAGATGCTCTGTTTCACACAACAGAATACCCTGTTTCGTCCAATGTTCAGGAAGACGAATTTCCATGGAAGGAGTTTCGCCTTCCACAATTTGTAAAACCTCTACACTATTCTATTTTAATACATCCAAATCTAACCACCTTCTGGAACGAGGGAAGAGTAAACATAACATTAGAAGTTACACAACCAACTAATTTCCTTGTTATTCACAAGAAAGATATCAATACAACTATCCAAGCCTTTCTCAATCCAGATGAAAAGTATATTTCAGTGGTGAAGAGTTCGGAGAACCTGGAACATGAACAGCTGTATATGGAATTCGACATTTTTCTGGAACCTTCGGTGAAATATATGTTGCAGTTGCAGTTTAGTTACCAGTTAAAAGAATCCCAGGAAGGTTTTTTTCTGCGTTCCTATACAATACCCGGAGAAGAGAAAAGGTAATGTAAAAAAAAATGCAAATATTTCTTAAGGGATCAATTTATCTTACGTGAAAAATATTTCTAGATATAATCTATAAAAACCTATTGAGATAAAATATTAATTTCATATACTGAGCAAACAGAGTTTAATACCGTTTTGTTACACTAAAATTTTACACAATATTGTATTTGTTTGTAATTAAGTACAAAGCTACACAATGGGCTATCTGTGCTCTGCCCACCACGGGTATCGAAACCCGGATTCTAGCGTTGTAAGTCCGCAGACCTACCGCTGTGCCACTGGGGGCTATTCTTTTGTATTTAAAAGCGATAATCCTTTTATTTTATTCTCAATATACCTCAACTTGTATTTGTTACATACATACATACTTAAATGGCTGAAAACTATGATTTGTACAATAAGTTTACAACAAAAACTGTCTGTCTTATTTCATTGATCAGCACGTTCTTGTATACAAATATTACATTCATCATGGACTTACCTATGATTGTACAGTAATTAGAACAGACAACTGAAGTCGCACTCGCCTAATTTACACTATCTTACCAAAAGTCATGGGACACGGGTAGTTATGAATAAAACGTGTCTTTATTCTAAGAAATTAATAGCGTGTTGGCCCACCTTTGGCCTTAATGACTGCTTCAATGCATCGTGGAAGAATGCCTACTAATTTCTGGTTGAAAGCTGGTGGTATTGTGCTCCATTCCTCGTTTAAAGCATTAGTACGCTACTACTGAAGAGGGCCGTCTTTGTCTTGCCCTAATGTTGCCTTCCAGTTCACGATGTTCTATCGTGTTGAGGTCGGGACTCTGTGCTAGCCACTGCAATGTTCCAATGTTATTACCTTCAAAACATGCGTTCACAATCCTTGCTTTGTGACATGGAGCGTTATCATGTTGGAAGGTGTAAGGGCCTGTAGCATAGAACTGCCTCAATGTAGGACACACAGAATTGTTCAGAACATCAATGTAGAACTCAGCATTCATGGATCAATGCACTGCGACCAGTGGACCTAGTCCATACCAGAAGAAGCACCCCTGAACCATGATACCACCACCTCCAAATTTCACTGTTGGGACAACACGCTTGGGTAATAAGCGACCTCCAGGCATCCTCCATACCCAAACACGTCCATCAGACTGGAAGAGCTTGTAGCGTTACTCGTCGTTCCACAAGACTGATTTCCATTGATCCACGGTTCACGTTCGGTGTGCCTTGCCCCATGCCAATCGACGTTGTGCATTTGTTTTTGTTATCAACGGCTTGTGGGCTGCAGCTCTTCCGTGAAAATTCATAGCATGCAGCTCTCGACATGTCGTGGAAACACTTATAGGATTGCCTGTGGCTGCTCGCATCTCCAATCACAGATTCTCTAGGGTTTGACGGCGAGATGAGGCAACCATCCTTCTCAAGACGCGTCCGTTCCTGTCAGCCAGTATTTTATGCCTAACTGGTCGTTTCTTGGGTTCATTGTCACCGTGGACTTCCATTTCTTCAGCACGTTGCCAATTGTCGGCTTGGGAATATTTAATTGTTGCGCAATACCATGTACAGACATTTTTTCCAAATGACATCCAACTGTCCTTCCCCTCTAAAAACTCTATTAGCTCTTTTTATGTACTCGTCGTTCGGCGTACAAGCTCAAAATGGCTTCGGAGCGAACCACTGATCACCTTTATAGGCCAAACTATTTACATGTTTCTTCGTCACACCCATTTTCCTGCAATCAGATGTGTGTCCCATGACTTTTGATACGATAGTGTGTATTTACACACTAGATGTTATTTCTACCTTGGTATTTTTGGATGTTTACTTGTGAAAAAGTGTGATAGAAACAACATGACGCTATTGCAAGGACAATGTACATTGATAGACCGTATTTAAAGCTCTCGGCAACACTGTTGTATTACTGAAGCCGAAAAGAATTGTAACCAACATTCAGATTTTTAAATATACCGTGACTGACAATATGGCTAAAACCTATGTAGATCCGGATTTTAAGTAAAAGGTAAAGTTACTAAAACTTACCTAAGAAGTTATTACAAATTTTCAATTTTTTTAATGCAAGATTTTACATGTACTTGTTATTTTGTATGAACATGATACAAAAACTGTTTCATGATGCCAAGAATTATAATTTTGGAAGTCGCATTATTATCATCTCGATAGACAGGATATGAACATATAGCTGTATAACATTCAAGGAGAATGGTGATGTAAGTATATTGTTTATGTAAAACGGCAAAGTATTGTAATTTTAAAAATAGTGACAGTTTCTTTAGTAAGTGAGTTCTTTTTGAGTATTTGCTTAGAAGTAAAACTAAGTAGTTTCCAAGTTCGTAATTTTGTGGTATCTCACGGGTAATCAACAGTGCAGAGAAGTTAGGCCCACTAACAAGGAGATTCTCAGATAGTACGTCTTTGTTCTACCATTATATGCACTCGTGCCAGATTAATCAAGTGAGTTCTTTTTTAGTATTTGCTTAGAAGCAAAACTAAGTAGTTTCCAAGTTCGTAATTTTGTGGTATCTCAGGGGTAACCAACAGAGCAGAGAAGTTAGGACTACTAACAACAGGAGATTCTCAGATCTCGGGTTTAGATGTGTTTAGATTTCCGTTCGAGTTGCAATATCTGAGACACGAAGAAAGAGACAAGTCACAAGTTTACAAAATAATAGATGCTTAATAACACTCTCAAAAACAATAAATAATACAATGCACAATAAACAATAGAGCGAGTAATCTGTGTGTACAATGATGTGAAATAAGACTTTCTAGTGTATATTTTCCCCCCTGTAAGTACACTAGAACAAACTAAAAGAAAGCAACCCCAAGTTAAGTTTGAATAAGCAATTAATATTAGAAAGAACTATTTTAAGTAATTATGTCCTAACTTCAATTTTGCCAAAACAGCTTAACTTCGAAAATCGATCTAACAATGGCGGAGCTAATGCCTCACTAATAACGCTTCACAGTTAATGTTAAACACGCTTTAAAACTTATTCGATTAAGACAGACATAGCAATGAAAATGAAAGTGAGAGCTTACTAGTACTCTATCAAACGAGGATGAAAGTTAAGGCAAAACACTCGTCCATGAAAGTGAACGCCTAACGCTACACATTAAGTTTAAGAATTATAATGCGAGAACATTAAAAGAGATTCAGCTTAAAAATTAAACGATCTAAATACACACTAGTCTGAGCTCCCTAGTACAAATATAAGCTTCAATACCCAACTAGTCTTGACTCCTCAGCATACCCAAGCCCATATTGTGTACTACGTATGTCACTAGCTGAAGGGATATAAACTAAGGGCTTGACTGCTCGCAGCTATTATCTTATTCGTCGACAAGAAAAGCTCAAATCGCTGATTAATTACCTTGTTATTCCTGCAAGAGAACCAGACCAATAAGCTCTCGTCTTCATACAAAACTCCGCTTGCTACTTAAAGAAAATTGAAGTTAGTAACTCATTTGAGTGCCTTACTGCGTCCGTAAGGGTAACCACGAAAAATACGGCATCATTTTAAAATTTTACTTTTAATTTTAATTCAAGGTGTGGAAAACATATGATACGTCCTTTTATATGTACTCGTATTAGACACTGTCAGTGCCAGATTAATCAAGCCCCATCAAATTATTTTTTAATTATGACCTTTTGACTTGATCAACGATAAAGTTCACAACAAAATTCACCCATGTAAAAATTAATATAATGAAACCGGTTAAAAACACTAAATAGAATCTATATCGCGCATTTTTAAAAAACTTTATTAAGTCATGACTAAAAAGGACAACAATTTCTTTATAAAATGATAAACCCCCAAAAATTTTATGAAAATAATGAAAACTAATTACAAATTATATTTTCTAAGATATATAGGTGTTGATTTTTCCCAAATATAGTGCAAATATTGAACTCTATTAAAAACATTTTTTGATGAAGGCGCAAAATAAAAACACCCATGCAAGAATTTGAGAAAAAAACACAATTCGACATTTTGTGAACTTCCTTTATGACAAGGACCCGGATCCAAGCCCAGTGTGCCCAATGGATAATCTGGCCATGAACTTTATGGACCATGAGGTTTCGTTTCAACAATATTATTTGATATTAAGTTTCTGGTTGTGCGACAATGTAAAAAATCATTCTAAGTGACACACCAAAATTAGAAACAAAGAAATGGAGATCCTGCTAAAATTATAGAGAAAATTAACTACAGAGGTCCTTGGTAAAGAACAGATAAATTTTCAACAAATAAAGTATTGTATTACAAAGCTGTCTACTTCTCATCCGTTTTGGTTTTTCACGTGCTTTTGCTTTGGTATATAAATAACGCTCTTTGTCTACATCCATAATGTCTAATAGAGGTTCTTATAATAACGAACTTGTCTGTCTCTGTAAAATTATTAATTTCAAACATTATTAAAGTTACCCGTGGACCTGTGTTTGGTTCTGCAGTTCGATTCAACGGTCACTTATGTAGAATCTGAGATGCGGAACCTTCAAACTGAGTCTATTTATTAACATATTTGTGAGAGATGTAATAAAGATCCACTTATATGCAAAATGTCTAATAGATGTAAACTTTTGGGCCCAAATGTAATTTGTAATAATTGCACTAGTGATATAATATGATATGATGCTAAAATGTTTGAGTCATGAGCTTATGTCGTTCTTCACATAATTTATGATATTCAAGCTCAAAATCAATTTGTTTCGACTCAATCCAACATGTTTATATTTCCTTGAACAAATGCGAAATCTAAGGGCTTTTTACCGGAATTCCTATTTAGTCTTACATTTCTTCACGTAACTAACCTGCAGGAAAAGGCCATAACTCGTTTTTCCGCTGACGCCTAAATATTTTATTTTATTTAAATGCCATAACAACATAATAGCGTTCGTATGTATTTTTTCTCTAAATGTGTAACCTTAAATTTTCAGTTATAAAGCTTATCTAACCTAAGCCTTACCTTCCACATATTAATCTGAATAATTAGGCGTAATTAACATGGGGATACGGGGAATATGTACTCCTCAATTTTCCCACGAGAGGGAATCTCCCTCTCACTTTGTTTGTTTTTGTTTGTTTTTAACTAAGCATAAAGCTACACAATGGGCTATCTGTGCTCTGCCCACCATGGGTATCGAAACCCGGATTCTAGCGTTGTAAGTCCGCAGACATTCCGCTGTGCCACTGGGGGGGGGCTCTCACATTGAATCAATGCTAAAACTTTAATTTATCAGTAATGAACTCCTATAATTACTCATTGCTATAGTGACATTTTTATTTTAGATGGAATAACCCTCATTTCTGAACTATAGAAATTGTCCCCCCACTTTTGAAACCAAAGTTTTGCAATTGAGGTGAATCAAAAAAACTTCCTTTGCTTTTATATTTCTAAGTAGGTTAATTGAATTATTTTGCTTTCCCACTGTAACACTAGAGTTACCACAAAGATCAAATAAATATTTCTTGAGATAATTATTCAGACAGAGTAGGTTCTAGAATCTTTCTGACAAGCCCCTTTTTTAATTTGTCACTTGTGTGTGTGTGTGTATACACACACATTCCTACAAACACTTGTAGGGTGTAGCACTTGCAGAATTATATATATTACGAAAGTCTCAGTCTACTTTAATTTCTTATCAACAAATCACATAACGACACAGAGTATCAAAATCTTGTATATGCTACAATAATATGAAAAAACACATCATAAAAATGGGTAATACATGTAAGTAGTCTGAATACCAACTAGTTTGCTATACATATTTTACAGGTTGATACAGTTACTTCATCAGAACTGTATATAACTAATGAAAGTACAAAACTTTTTATGTCGCTATTTAGCATTGTATAAATTAAAACCTGACATTACTTCTGAATGAAAAAATTGTCTAACTAATTGTAATATTGGAAATAGTTATAGAAACGTATAGTATAAAAAATATCAAGAGATTGCTTCCTCTCTTTTGTATGGAGTGGACTGCACCAGAGTACAGCCTCGTGCTAATAGTTTAAACTGTGATTGGCCGTCATCCACCCAATAAAACAATGTCATACTAGCATAATACCTATAAAAGAAAAGGCAGTAATTCAACTCTCAAAACATTTTCTGAACATCCCTAGTTATTTCTGAAACGTAACAAGAACTGAGCTTGAGAAATATAAACCAAGACATCTAGATGCCAGGAAAAACAAACTCCGATGTGTAGTTTTGTGTTACGCTCATGGCTCCTAGACAGGCAGAAATGCCACATTACAAACATATAGCGGTAAAGGTTTCTGGTTGATGAAGGATATTCCACGCAACAGATTTTGGTGAGATTTTAAATTTCATGTATCAGTAGGAATAGAAAGCCCGAACTCTTCCAAAGCAATGTTAAATACTTCCAAATATGCTTCTTACAAGCTACATGAAAATCCAGCAGAAATCTTGCTAATGAACTATTTGTAAGTGCAGGTGCGAATGTTACCTTCAAAACAGTAAGATACGTAATAGTATGAAGTAGTTTCAGTGTAAGGTCGCCAAGAGCTATTGTAGGTCTATGCCCAAAATAGTTTTAGTTTTTGGAATGAAGTGACATACGTGTAGAAGTGGTTGAATGCACTATTAATGTTTTCTTAAAGGCTTGGTACTCATTTGATACATTGTACACACATTTTCTACCGCTTTTCGTGGGCCCCTAGTGTGCAGTTGACCATGGCAAAATATCCCGTGCCTTCCTCAATGGATGTGTAGCTGCTCAGATATCATTACTTACGAGGTCTAATCAAACGGTTGAAATGGACATCAAACTTCAAACGATGGGTTGAACAAAGCTGGAGGAGGTGCTCTCTGCAGATGGATCCAAATTCAAATTAATTGGCAATAATCAATGATCGTTTGATGGCACAGAGAAAAATTGTTTCAAAGTCAGTCAACTCATAACTTGTATGGTGAAGCTAGCTAGAGAACAAATACGTGTTTGGATTGCATCTCAGCCAAATGCAACCAAAACGTGACGTGTATAGTAAAGGACATTTCAAACAATATTTTATACTAAACTGATATACTTATAAAAAGTAGGTGTGTCACTGTTTCAAACAAATACAAAATACTTTTGCATTTTACAGCTTATTGTTTTGTGTTTTTTTTATAATGATAAATTGACCATTTCTGTAGTTACTTAGTGTTCGTGATTGTTGTATGTGTACAACCTATGAGTTTTCATAATATTTCCAGTACTATATATCTTCATATAAATGTTTTCAGGTACCTTGCTACCACCCAATTTGAACCAATGGGAGCACGTAAAGCCTTTCCATGCTTTGATGAACCAGCCATGAAAGCAACTTTCTCTCTTCAAATTGTTCATGAAAAGGATTATGATACCTACTTCAATACCTATTTGAATACCTCACTGCCATATGGAAATAACTTAACATTGTCAGTTTTCAACCCATCTGTTCGTATGAGCACATATCTCGTTGCATTTCTTGTGTGTGATTTCAGTTCTGTGCAAGGGAAGACGAAAAGTGGAGTTGATGTAAGTTTGTTAGTTTATACAAGTATTGTTTTTCATGACTATATTATTATTGTTGTTTTAAAGTTCTCACACGCAGCATTGTTGGTAATGAGATCCAGAGTGATTGAAAATGTGTAGGTTGTAGTCTAAAAAGAATGTGCCAATCATAGTGAAAATAAAAGTTAAAAAAAACAACAACAGTCAACTCCTAAATCTAGATAAAATTTGTTTTCTAAGAATTTTTGTAATGTCAAACCTTAAATTGCGTTTCAAGAGAGAGAGAGAGAATTTGGTTTGAATTTCGCGCAAAGCTAAACGAGGGCTATCTGCACTAACTAGCCCTAATTTGAAAGTCAAAAAGAAAACAGTTAGTCATCACCACAAACACTTGGACTACTCTTTTACCAATGAATAGTAGGATTGACTGTCACATTATAACGCTCCATGGCTAAAAGGGCGAACATGTTTGGTGGGAAAGGGATTCGAACCCGCGACTCGCAAATTGCGAGTCGAGCGCCCTAACCACCTAGCTTTGCCATGCCCCATCAAGAAGATTCAGGATTTAATTTTGGCCATTATAAGCACAGTAATAGTCCTTCTCGGGACTTCCCTGAAGATGGCAGCAGGTTAGCTGCCGTTGATGTTGTTTTCGTAATGCAACACTACACAATGGACTATCTGCACTCTGTCCATCACAGGGAATCAAACCCCGGTCTTCAGCATTGTAAGTTCATAGACTTACCACTGACTCACTGAAATGTAGGATAAAGAGTAATTCGGAAATATCATCTAGTTATGAAGATTAATTAAAAGATAAATAAATAAAATATGTATAAAACAATAACATAATCAAAATAGAGATACTAATTAATATTAAACTTATATGATGTTATTGGTCCCTAACCATGACAACAACTGTACTTGTCTGCTCCCTGGAATGAGACAAACCCATAACAATAACTGATACAGATACTTGTACAAGTTAATATGTTTTCTCCCTTTTATGTGTTATTTATAATAATTTTTAGTGTAACTATTTTAAGGATTGTGGGATACCAAACTAGGAACTTAGTATGACTTGAAATTGCAGTATTACATTACTCTTTGCTCTGTTCTTGTCCTGTGAAGTCACTCTACAAAATAGAAACTAGACAATTTTGGACTAACATAAACATTGCTTGTGAATAAAGTAATTGTGTTTCTTTTACTGTCCGCATTTGAAATATTACTCTTCATAACATTTCCAGAATTGCAAATACTTATAAACTACCTACCAAACTTCAGTGTATCTGAATACCACAGGCTAGTTATCAAGTTACATTTTGGTACCATGACCCAAAGATTTATTTATTGTGGAGTTTATTTTCAACATGCTTCTTTTTATGTTTGACTCTCTGGTACAGTGACGTTTGTAAATAGTCATTATGGAAGGGCATCTTCTGAAACCCCGAATAACTTCTGGCAGAGAGGAAAAAGCTGTGAGTGAGATAAAGTTTCAATCTGAAAAAGTGGAAAGTAGTAGGAAAGACACTGTCATAGACCAAGAGCTTTCACCAGCCATATAATGTTCTGGCTTTGTCCACGGAGACCAAGAGGCTGATAGATGGCTAGGGAAAAACCTAGCCTGCTGTTACATAACCTATAATGGTCACTTCCAAACTATAGGGTGGCAGAGCAGGTGGTGCTGTGCCTGTTGCTGAGTCTAAATTTGTCCCACGCTTAATGCTTTAATTCACTTGGACGACCTAACCACTAGGATAAAGTTGTGCTACAGATAGCACGGCAATCCACATGGTCGAGTTCAAAGCTTGAATTTGAAGGCCTCATGAATATTTGGCCACTTACATGGATGATTTATGTCTCCCTTAGATCACGATAAGATACTCATCAACAGGTTTATAGAGAGCCTACCAAACCAAAAATCGTGCATCACCACATGGCGGCAGTTTCAGTGATGATTCAACATGACTTCTTCATGTTGAACCACACTAGAACAACAACAATCGTGACATGGTGCAGCCATTGTCGTTCACTATGAGGCCACAGAGCTTCACTGGCCCAGTTGCCATGGCTACACCAAGAACAATGCAGCCAGATTTGGTATGCCAATTACAAACATTAGTAGAAGTAAAATATTTATTAAAAGTGGTGTTATCTGAATCAATTCGTCTAGATTTTATATAGTTGGTTTAAAAAAGAAGTTTATAACTCAAAATATGCTGAGAACTATGGTACTAAGAAAGCCTTATTTATTTATTTGTCTATTTATCTATTTTTTTCAAATAGAACAATATAAAAGTAAGTGGGCACATCACATTGTTGATAATTTCACTGTAATTATGAATGTTAGAAAAAGCTTTGCTGTAGCTGTCACACGTTTAAACATTTTTTTTATCCTTTGTACTTTACAGTTAAGGATTATAGTGCCAAAAGACCAGTTGAGTCGATCAACATATGCTCTGGAATGTGGCATAAAGATTCTCGAGGATTTTGAGGATTTTTTAAACATCTCTTATCCTTTGCCAAAGCTTGGTAGGTTGAACTTGTCTTTCTATACTTACACGAATATTATGACGGTCACTATTCTAACATATAAATTCAAACTGACCAGTAATGTTCTTTTAGTAATCTTATATTTTAATTCTGTCTCCCTATATTTTTATTCGAAAGCTTTTAAGAGTAATGAACTAAAACTTATGCTAGTATACTTTCAATACATTGTTTATCTGCAAGCCAAATGCATGGAACACATATCACGGTTAAATGAAATATCACCCTGAATATGAAAGATAATTATATATATTAATTTCCATTTTAAGCTCAAAATGTATGTTTTAGTAATAAACAAAAAACTTGTGTAGAAATAGCCAGTTGTTCTAGGAGTGAAATTTTGTTTGTAATTAAGCATAAAGCTACACAATGGGCTATCTATGCTCTGCCAACCACGGGTATCGAAACCCGTATTCTAGCTTTGTAAGTCCGTAGACATGCCGCTGTGCCACCGGGGGGGGGGGCAAGAATGAAAGTAAATAAGAATATTTAATAAGTCAGTCACATAACGTCTGCCATAACCACTAATAATTCATTATATTTATCTATTTCGAAATGAACTAGATTAAAAGTTTTGTTTTAATTTTAATAATATCAATAGTAATGTTAACTTTACTGTACAAAACATTAAAATAAAACATTATTATTGGAAAGAAATAGTTGCTGTCACTAATTTCTTGACAAGTAGCTTGATCAAGTGATAATTGTTTTTTTTTCTCTGTTATAAATGTAAAACAAAGTAAATATGTATGTTCATATTGTAGGTTAGCCAGTAACGAAAAAGTACATAGTGAATATGAATTTTATTTCTGTTAAAGATGGTAAAAATGTCACAATATAGAAAAAATTATTGTGGAAGAGGGATGACTACGACATATGTTCATATTGTAGGTTAGCCTAGTAACGTAAAA